AGTGCTTGGCTCTGAGTTCAAGACTCTGGACTGGTATGTGAGTGCATGCGTATGTGAGCATACCCCCTGCTACCGAACACACACATACCACAAACCAAAACAACAAAAACATGCAGTTGCTAAACCTAGAGTTTAGAGTTTCTGCAATGGACTAAAAGTTACAAAAATGTCTGTTGCTGCACCAGAGGATCTTGGACCAGGCTGAGTGCAGCAGACCCTGGGCTTTTGTGAGCTTATAATCACCATTCCTCTTGGAATTCCATGTCTGGTTTTGTTTAGCAGCTTTCACTACAGAGTATTGTCTCAGATATTATTTCAGATGTCCGCTTTAGGTCTGGGAACATTCCCTAGATTGACTTGAAGTCACCAGTGGAAATCAAATAATAATATCAAGCACAAAATCTTGTTTTTATGACACTGTGATTTTTTAATAGTGCATAAAATATATTAAAAAAGGAAAAGTTTTCAGAACTTATTTCACTGCAAATAAAATGTTTATTAACGATGGAAGCTATTTAAGACACTTGACTCTGAACCTGTAAGTTGGGTAAAAGTTTTAAGCATTTGGATCACAAAAGCCAATTATAACCAGAACATCTGTATAGCTTGCTATAGCAGAATTCCCGCTATATCACATCTCCCTTTATTGTCAGTTCAGATTAGGACAATGATGTCATTTTAGCTTAAGATACCTTGCTAAAATGTCCTTAATTTTCTAAAGTATATATTCTATCTTAGCGTCTTTGTCAGAGAGCTATATTTCCAATTTGCCCTTTTAAAGGTAAGGGTTTGTAATAGGAATAAAAAAAAATGTCAGCTTTACATTTAAATGAGCTTTTAGTGAAAAAAAGAAATTAATGTCTCTTCTAAAGGTCTTACACTAAATTATTAGAGTGCAAAAGCACAAGGAATTCAGTAGTTATCCCTCATGAAAAATACAGAAATCACTGTATTTAATCAAGTAAAAAATAAAACTGGATTTTAAAGAAAAGTGTACCTTAGTTTAATATGTCAACCACATGAGGAGCACATTATTTTCTATATTCCCATAGTCTTTGCTTCCTGTCCTGGGCTTGAACTCAGGGCCTAGAGCTCTCACCCAACTTTATTTGCTCACAAACTGGCACTCTTACCACTTGAACCCAAGCCTTTAGTTCTGGCTTTTGTGGGTTAATTAGACACCAGAATCTCACAGACTTTTTTGCTTCAGCCGACTTTGAACCCAGATCCTTAGATCATGTCTGTCTCCTCAGTACCTAAGATTACAGATGTGGGTCCTAGACATCCAGCTTGGAAAACATTTTAAATTGTGGAAATTTGTTCACTGAACTTTAACAGCATGCTAGTCAAATTCTCTTCTCCAATTCTAGTGTATATCACGTAATTTTAGTCCATAAGCACATCCCCATCTTTTCATGACTCCCCCCCACCAAAAAAAATAGGACAGTGTCACACACAGTTGTCGACCAAGAAACAAGAAAGATGAAGGTTAGAAAGGTTAAATGGTGCATAGACTCAGCTATTATTGTGGCTCACGTTAAGCACAGACTCTTTGGCTTAATGATCAGGCATGTTGTGTCTTTTCCAAGCTTGGCAGCTCAGCGTAATTAGTATACTAATAGTGTTCCGATTTGACACAGTCCAATTCTGGAGCTCAATAGGGGTTGTCATATACCATTTCAATAAGCACGTTGGCATCACTTAGTGTTTATCATTTTCATGTAAATATCACTTGGCATCCTTTGTCAATATACTCAGCAAAAACTTTCCAAAAACAACTTTTAAGATCTCCATGTCTACCAGAGAAACTCATTAGTCCTCTGAAGGTTTAAAAGGCATGATAGATCCAGATTGAGTCACACACCCAATCCCCGTATTGTTTGTTGGGAGAATTTGGGTGGGATGCATTAAACAGGCCGAGGCTTGTTTCTAATTTAGATATAAACCACACACACTCACATACCATTTAACTACAAATTCCTCTAGTTGTCAGAGAATGTCAATAGTTAGCCTGGGAGGATGTCATGTACCATTGGCTGCTTAATAAAAAGCCTTTAAAAGCATCAGTATACCCACTCAACACTTTTATAGTTTGTAGTTTGGGAAGAGTTAAACGGAATCTAAGCTGGTCCCTGGCTGGTGGAGAGAAATGGATGCGGGGATGTTTCATTCCGCAGACATTATGAACCCATGGACAATACCCAAAGTCCTCATACCATGCTACAATCAGTGCTGGGTTTTGTGAGGAAGCCTGGATGATCTCTCCAAAGCCTTGATCCCTGTAGAGTCCTGTAGTTATGTTACTAGAGACCACCAGCTCTTCCTGAAATGCCTCAGTGGCAAAGAGAAAGCTACAGCTTTACATATGTACCTGCTAGCATTAGAAACCTTGGCTTTTCTTCTTGTTCCCTGTGGGAGTGAGTGGCTGGATTACCTCTTGTAGAATCTTTCCTTACTTTTTTTATCCAGGGGGCTGGAGGAGGAAGAAATGCCCAGTGATAGAAACAAGTTACTTGTTTAACACATTGTGCCTAAGATTTTTTTTTGTAGTTGTTAAATCAATAAAGATTCATATTGGTATACTTTCTTTGGCTCTATAGAAAGTTTACCATAAGAGATCCAGTTTCAGTGCAAAATATGGTTGGGTGATTTCATGTAATCAATTAACATTGATGGGTAGTTACAGATATAACTCATTTTGTGGCACACCACTAGGTAACAGGTGGCTTATTCCAGCATCTTTGTTCAAAAGGAGATGGAGTAGAGTGTTTCATGGAAGTTTTGTGATATTTGAGTCAAACTTTGAGATATGGACCAAGAGTACTCTAGAAGGGATAAGATAGGAGAGCAAGGGTATTCATAGAAAATTTTGACTGTTTCATATCTACATAGTCCAAATTTCCCCAAAGGAATAGTAGAGGAAAAGGATGAGAGCCTAAGGCCATCATATCCTTGCTAGCTCTCTATTTCAGTTTTATACACATTTATGGTTGATTTTATAGTAAAAGAAATTACAGACTTGGCTGTTTTCCTGATGTTCTAGAGCAGACTTAGAGATGTCGATAGGAATGTTTTTTTTATACTGTCATTAAACAACTCTACATGTAAGAGTATTTGCCACTATAAATCAACTGGTATTTCTTACTTTAACATAGCAGAAAATGTGTAGGCAATCTGCAAATCCTAACCTGCCATTCAGTTTATAAGGTGAAACATTATTCTAGTAATAGATTAGGCTAATTCAAAATGACTACACTTGTTGTCACTACTGAGTACACAAGGCGAGTGAGAGCTTGTGACCCGTCTTAGGGCTTCAAGTATTGCTATTACATTCCACTGTGAGATTAGAGTTATCAGTACTACGTTATTCTTTTCCACTTCCTATGAAGGAAACAGCTAGCTGAGGCCCAGCCAGCAGGTAGATTGACCACAGTAAGGAAGTAAGCTAGAAGTCATCCCCACAGGAGAGGTTCATGTCATCTCCCTGAGTTGTATTACACCACTAATAACTGCTCAGAGAGGAAAAAGAATAGCATTCCCACAGGAAATGCCCCAGTCTCATGCAATAAAGAGCTCCTTTGCCAGTACATTACAAATGGAATATGTAAGCATCAAGGAGAAAGGTAAATTAAGCTTGCATTCCAGGGTCAAGGTCAGTAAATAAGGCTAAGGAAACCAGGTCAACTTGTATGGCCTGGTAGAAGTCTGGAAAGACCAAATTATTGGTCCAGGCTAGATGAAGTGATAATGTGAGAACCAATGGTCTGAGCCTGGATTGGATTTGAAGGGCTGAATTTCCTGCTCCCTCAACATTCTTCTTCAGTGTTACTTGTTTACTTTGTTCTTCCCACATGAAATCTCTCCTGATAAATCTTTCAGGTACACCCATGGTTTTATGCTGCCTGTGGTAATATTCAATTTATTGTTATTTGGTGCTACTGGGGATTGGACTCAGGGCTTTTGCTTGCTAAGCGAGCACTCTACCATTTAAGTGACTCCTCTAGCCCTGCTGCCTGAGTCTTAAAACATACTACTATTTTCTGAATTTAAAAATTAAATTCATGACAACTGTGTCCTATCTGTGATTTGAGAATGAAAGCAAGTCAAGGTTATATTCAGTAAATAAAAAGGAAAATAATATTGTAAAATAAAACACTTGTGTCTAGTACTCATAAGATGCTTGTAAATTTTGATTGAATTAAATGGGATGTTTGTAATACTTAAAGAATTATCTTTAAACATAATTTCTGCATGCTGTTCTAAAGTCTGTTTAAGACATCTGGTTATAAATAATAAATTAGTATTTATCTTAGCAGAATCATTTAGGAATTAATTAAGCTTATTATTTCGAATGCTATAGCTGACATTTTGATATTACAAACCTTAAACTTGTTTCATTGATCTCTTCAAAGTCATAAAATGTTCTTCATAGCCAGAGGCTAGAGGACTTAGAATTGGTCATCTTGGGTTCAGCGTAAATAGTCAAAAGTATGAACTCCTTAACAAAATGGGGAGTAAAACAAGACAAATATATAGAAAAATAAAGTTGGTTTTTTAAAAATTATTTTTACACACAGGGACTGAAATTTGGAGGAATTTTGTGAATGTACAGAATTTTTCAAATGCAGACATAGCAATTGCACACAGAGTGACTCCTTTCTGATTCAGTTTCATAAATTGGAACATGAAGAAGCACCCTCCAGTAGATAATACTCAGAAATCAGCACTTAATATGGCAGTAATGGTTATTGCTGTCATTCTTTACATCTTTAAAAATAATTAAGCATTACAGCACAGGCATTATAAAGTTCCCCTCTCACCATTAAGAGGATATTTGAGGTTTGATGTAATTTAGCAAATTACATTATACAGTAGTTAAGGTTTTTATGCAGTGAAGTAAAATGTGTCGTAGTTAAGCACACTTACCATATAATGCATTGTACAGAGTTACATGTTCCAGCTGCTGCCAGCTTTGTTCCAGTGTCATTATTGCTTTGCAGGCTGACGTTCCTCAGGGAGTGATTCGTGTGCAAGCTCCCCATCTTTCGAAAGTTTCCATGGCAATACAGCTAACTGAAGAACTAAAAGCCAGTGATGTACTTGCCAGGTTTCTCAGCCAAGAAAGGTAGAGGCCTGTTTTGTCTTAATTATTCTGGGGGATAACTCACTTGCTGTCCTTTTTTGTGTATGGGGAGGGATAACAAAACCTACCGGGTGGTATGAAATGCATAAAATTTCTTTCCAGCTAGACAGAAGATCAAACCTGACAATGAGACTGTTGGAATGAATGAGTTTAGTCTGTTGGAGTTAGTTAGTGTTCAAGTTGAGCCTGTTTCTTCCTTTTTCCTTCTTTCTTTTCTTTTTTTTTTTGGCAGCACTGGGGTTTGATCTCAGGGTCTTGTGCTTGCCAGGTAGGCACTCTCTCACTGGAGCCAAGCCTATTTCTAGCAGGAAGTCCAATTATTCCTTCATTGTGTCTATAATAGATTTGGTAAATGAGATCAGTCCATAGTCTTTCCACAATATGTTGATTGGAGGTTAATTACTATTTGTAGAAAAATTACTGATTAGGCTACAGAGAGATTAAAACCAGGACAAGATACATTTTTTTCCTATGAAATAGATAATGAGCAACAACAAGCTGTCCTTCAAGCTCTGAGATCACAGAAAGAGAACAAATTGTCCTTCTTAAGGACAACCAAGACCTTCTAGATTGCGGACTGGTCCTTCAGAAGCCACTGACATGACTGTCTCTATAGTATATGTGCTTTCTGATGTGTCATTTCTTGAAATTTACAGATCTTAAATGAGTGCATTGGGTTTAAGGTCATGTTTTAATGCACACCTCCTCCCTCCATCTCTACTCACTGAAATAAGCTAAATTTTTAAAAAGGGAAAAGAGATCTAGGGCACTGGCATCTCAGTGTATAAATACTCTATTACGATCTTTCCCTGGATTGAATCTCCTCATTTAACCTCCGTGGTAGGAGCAGGCAGGGGGCAGGGTCTTCAATGAAGTTGTCTGGCAAAGCATCTTCAGTTTTTAATATAGTACTTGAAGTATTCAGTAGGCTTCTATTTATTGAATATCCTCTGCTAGGTGTTGGAAGGGATATAGACCTTATTTGAAAGTCAAAGTGTCTTCTCCCTCTTCCCCTTTCCCCCCCAGCTCGGACAAAGGGGGTGATCAATGGAGGGAAGAGATGATTCTCTATTGATAACAGATAGTGGTGAAATAGGAAAGAAGCTATTGTAATAGCTTGGCTTTTGGCATATCAACATACATGTCTTTGTAGTAACACTTAGAGGTCTTTAGGTCTTTACCGAAGGACCATTACTCCTTCTGTTTTACCGGTAAGAAAAGTGATGTTTGCAAGGAAACATACTACTTATATGTAGTAGAACTAGAATTCTGAGGCTGGGGCATCTGTCCCCTGAGGCCAGTCTGTAACCATTCTCCACATCTGGGAGTCCCCGCATCCTGAGAGGAAGATGCAGTATGTGGCCTATTAAGCCCTACGGCAGTAGAATCTTTCAGGATTGAGGCCTGGGTGAAGTGGAATTTCTCAGGGCTTTATTCATTAACTGGTGTCCCCTGGGGCTCCCTGGCTTGACTTGTAGATATCAGCCTCTCCTTAGTCCATTGCCTCTTAGAACATTATTTTTTTGGCGATTTGACTGACTTCAGACATGAATGGCTCTTCCAGACTAGGCACCATCAATTTACACAATATCTATGTCTAGGTCTCAAGTGAAGATCAACTTCTTTTATTCCCTCCCTCTATTTAGTGACAGTATAAAGATATGACTATGAAGTTACACAGTGCATATCAACTTTAATATTTAGAGATATAGGATGAAGTACTAGTTGGCATCTTCTTATGGAAATCTCTAGTTTTGTGATCATTACCCTTTGCCTATTTTCTGCTTGTAGTACATTTATGTTTTGTTTTTGTTTTTGGTCTGGTCATGGGGCCTGAACTCTGGGCCTGAGCGCTGTCCCTCAGCTCTTCAGCTCAAGGCTAGTGCCCTACCACTTGAGCCACAGCGCCACTTCCTGCTTTTTTCTTTTTGCTTAGGTGATGCTGAGGAATCGAACCCAGGGCCTCAGGCATGCAAGACAAGCGCTCTACCACTGAGCCAACTTCCCAGCCCCTTGTAGTACATTTATTAAATAAGAATTTGCTTTACCCTACACAGGCCATTTCTTCTTGCTTGGAGATACTAAGGACACACACTCATTTTTTTTTATAAACTCCTTAAGTCTCAATCCTTCATTTGTAAGAGTGGATTATGATAGGAATTCCCTGTTGATCTTGTGATAATTAACTAAAAAAGTGACCACAAAGCTCCTGGCGATGTCAGTTTGGACCAACACAGGAGCTGAAGTCCTCAATACATGTTTGCATGAGTATTTCTCTTCTATCACAGTCCTATGCTCCTCTCATTTATATCCTGCCTATTGGGGGAGAATGGAAATCCTACTTCCTTTCATCCTTACTTTCTCCCACCTTCACTACCGAAGCCAATGAACGAACACTGGAATAGCCAAAAAGCTCAACCAACTATACATTCACCCACCAGGCTTTGATAAAGTGTTAATACCTTTTTCATCGTGGATTTGCTGATATTACATGTGTGCTTACCTATATCAGAAAATTCAGTTCAGGTTTCTATAAAGTGAAACAGGAATATAGATAAATATATTTTGAAACATTCAATTTGGGTTTTTTTTTATAGCAACAAATGAATTTTTTATACTCCTAATGCATGGGTTATGTAGTAGAAGCAAAAAGAATTTTTTAAATGTTCAACTTAAAATAAAGTATAGCTTTGGTTAGGTACCAAATAGGACTATTGTTTAAGATTTGGCAGCAGGTGGAACTTACGTGTGAAGGCATCTAAAGCCTGTGTATCTGGTTGTGTGATGGATGCAGGGTGGGAGGAAAATGTTGGATGGCCAGGTGAGCCATTATATGACTGATGAGGAATGCTTCCCCTGTGCCATCTTCTTCTAATGGTGTGAATATAAGTCAACCCTGTTTTTCTCAATTCTAAAGTCTGTGTCTTCAGGTCCTTATCGCAATAGAATGCAAACCTTTCCATGCACCACAATCGACATAGGACATTTTAAAACCAGACTTTTGAACTTCCTCCCAGAATGGTTTGTGTAACACTGGATCTATTTGTTAATGCATTTCTAAAGTAATAGTTTGACAGAAAGCTTTGAACATGAGCTGAATTTTGCTATTTGTTTTGTGTTTGAACCTAATATTCTTTAAAAATAAACAAAACCAAACACCTTTATTCTTGCCCCTGATTTGTTGTATTGAAAAAATTTAGATCATGTATGAAATTGTCTATACTTACGGGGTTGCACGAGATACATCAGTACATGTGTATACCAGGTAATGTTGAAATCAAGGGCAATGTATCTCTGCAAATAGTCACTGCTGCTTCGTAGTGTAAGTTAGTCCTTTGAAGAGTATAAATATGTGATATAACCTACTTGGCAAAGTCTTCACAATGATGCTTTGCTTCTCCCTTGTCCGTGTGTATGTACCTCCCACGTAAGAAACACCAACATAGGACTGTGAATCATTCTTAATTCTCTGCCTTCCTCTTGAACATGGTTACGGTTGTCAGCCCAGCTGCCCCATGACTAGCACTGAAAAAGTGCAATGTGAAAACTGACATAGAAACTTAGCCCTTATGCAAAGTAGATAAGCATGTTAATAATTTCATTGGCTGATAAAATTTAATATTTCATTTTACAAATTTAGAGACTGATTTATTATTTTGCCTTCAGATGTATGACTGCATTTGTTTATTTTAATTTACAGGTGTGACATTTTGATTACCCATTCAGCACATTTAGCAGATGGGACAATATAAATGCACGGATAATTACAGTGTCTAAGTTATGAATTCTCTACACCAGCTAGAACTCCCTAAGCATGTGAAAGTGATTTACTTGCAAGCTATTTGATGATGCAACTAATGAGCTTGTTTTGTCCCCAGTACTGGTGTGGCTCAGACTCTGAAGAAAGGAGAAGTTTCTTTATATGAGATTGGAGGAAACATTGGTAAGGTCATTAAAAAAAAAATTTCTTGACATTCTAGATGCTGATTTGTTGTTGTGAATGTTGTTATTTATATCTTTGGAGAAACACAAGAAAGCTGGAAATAAGAAGTTAAGTACAAGAAATTTGAGTATTCTCTCTCCCACTTGAAGCCTGGAGTTTTTAAACTTATTAGTAAAAAGACTGTTTAAATATTAACACATTTTACTTTTAACTTAACTATTTAACTCCTAGGTCTTGGGAATTGTCTGGTTTCTTAGTGCATTTAAAACTCTTGTCATGCTTAATGAAAGTGAATAAGATTTTAAGGGACCATTAAAAAAAACACACAATGAAATACTTTCAGCTTCCTAACTTAATTTGAAATCTACTTATTTAGAGAAGGACTTTTTCAATAGTTTAACCAACTCTTCAATGGTTTTTTTTTATTGTGAAAATACTGTACAGAGGAGTTACAATTACATGGACAAGATAATGAGTACATTTCTTATCAAGCATTGTAGCCTCCTCCTTTGTTTCCCCTTCCCATCCCTTCCCATCCTCCCCCTGCCCCCCACCCAGTCTTCCCCGCTCCCCGCCCCCCCACGAAAGTTGTAAAGTTCATTTTCGACATAACAACTTGTACATCTCATTCTTGCAATGGGTCCACCTTTATCCCTATTTAAACGATTTGTTTTTCCCCTTCCCCTCCACAAATTATACCGAAATCAAATACAGTGAAAGCAGGGGTTATACTGTGGGGGAGGGACATACAAAGCAACAAAGAAATAATCTTATAAATGTGTTAGAAACAATCACATGAAAGAAAGAAAAAAACATTTGAATACATTCTTAGGGTTCATTTCCCTAACATCACCTTATCTGACCTTTTCTGCTTGACTCAGACATATACTAGATATTGCTCTTCAATGGTTTTAATGACAAGTATTTTGAAATATAAGGCTTTAGAGTTGAAAACACTGGACTTAAGTTTAACATTGTATCCTAGTTTACCTTCTGTGTTAATCTGATCCCCCTTTCTTCTCTAGGGGAACGCTGCCTGGATGACAATACCTACATGAAGGACTTATATCAACTCAACCCCAATGCCGAATGGGTCATAAAGTCGAAGCCATTATAGAAGCTGGAAGCCAACGCTAGCCCTGAGGACTTCTGTGGTCATTCTTGCTGGGTCAAGAGTGTACATAAAAGAAATGGTGGGAATCTTATTTTTCAGCTGTATTCAATTATTAAGAAGTGACGCCCTCAAGCCTTTACAAAAAAGATAGACATGCTGCTGCCAGAATTATGCTGATTATCATTAGAAAACAAATACTTCTAGAGACAGGGGCTTAATTAGCTTGTGGGCTGTTTTTATCTACTCTGTGAAATTCATCCAGATGTGAGGTGTTTTTTTCTTGATGAAAATGTTTTTTACCACTCACTTTTCCTTGTGAAAAGCATATGTTCTGAGGCATATATATGTATGTATATATATGTATATATGTCTCCTTTTACCTTCTTACTTATCTGTCTCTGCCTTTCCTCAGTCAGGTTTGATCTTTAACCAAAAACAATAACAAATACTAGGTATTTTAAGGCATGAAGACAGCATACATTAAAACAGACTTAATGCAATGTAATTCTTGGGACTATTGAATAGTGCTATTCCATGTCTGTGAATCATTTATTCCAATGATTCCACCCTAAGATCGAATAGTTAAATAGTTAAATAAAAAGTAATCTCAGGCTGTGATTTCTTTTCCCATTTATTTGATCTGTGTGCATGGAACTCTATCCTTGATCAAGTAAATTGGCCTGTCGGAAACCGCCAATTATTACCCTGCCATTAAATACTTATATATGAAGAATAAATTCAAATATGTGCATCTGTAATAAGAACTAACGATAAACAGAGAATGAAAGCCAAAGAACTATACTCTTTCCAAAAGAAATTTACAGAGTCAAAGCTGGCTTGACCTGTTTCCTATTAGCTTTATAAATATACATAATAATATGATCTAGTAAACAGTTGGAGAATGTATTGTTAAGGCAGGATATCTTTCTTTTCTTTTTCTTTTCTTTCCAGACTAAGACTACTGGACAAGTTATACTTTTCGGTATGACACAGTCATGTGAACAAGTTTTTGTTTTTGTACTTATTTTAAATCAATAAACTTACTAAAATGTTGTGGAAAGTACTCTTCCCAGGGATTTTAACACACAGGCCACATTGTGACCAGAGATGAGCCTCTCTACTGTACATAGAAGAGATGAAGAGAGAAATGTTAAATATTTTACAAAGTTAGAGTGTAGTAAATAAAAAGGTAATGTTAATGAATGTTGTGCCAACTGTGTTTGATACTTTTAGTCATACGGGAAGGAAAATTACACATTCTCAGAAACTCTTGATGTCATTGCTAATTAGGAAAGAAAAGGCCCTTAATGGGAGTCATAAATTTTTAGCATATAATTACAAGAGCAGCCTGTGGAAATGATCACTTAAAATAACTTTGTGGTGATTTGTGCCATTGCTTTTTTTATTTAAAGAATTTCATAATTAAATGTCTTTTTCAACATAATCTTCTCTTGGACTTATTACACTTCTGTATGTTCATGAGTCTACTTTGGTCTTTTAAGGATATTTTTAATTGACAAGTGCTCTATTTTTATTACTCAGTGACATATGGACTCTCACTGCTCCTATGGTCCTAAGTGATTTTTTTTCACATTTGGAAGACATGAGAGAAAAACTTATTACCATCCTTAGACTTTTTCTTCATGTAAATTTCTATTCTTTTGACTTGCAAAGCACACTTTAGTCTATTTCTGATGCTTTCCCTTCTAGCAAAAGGATGTTTATTAATGATTTGAGGGAAACTGGTATTTTAAAAAAAACACTATTGAGGGAACACAACTCCTAAAACAAGATTAAAGTCAATATACTGATTTAAATGAATGCTTTTCTAAAGTAAGTTTTGACTAATGTGCACCACATGTTCTCTAATGGGAGTTTTGTTGTTGGTACTCGTGGAAGACTGGTTGCCTGTTAATATTTTGATGATGATGGGGGCTGGGAAGGTGGCTCAGTGGTAGAATGCTTGCCTTGCATCCATGAGGCCCTAGGTTTGATTCTTCAGTACTACATAAGCAGAAAAAGCTGAAGTGGTGCTCAAGTGGTAGAGCTCTAGCCTTGAGCTGAAGAGCTGAGGGACAGCGCCCAGGCCCAGAGTTTAGGCCCCACAACTGCCAAATAAATAAATAAATAAATAGGTGATGCTTCCACTTTTCTGAAGGAGGTCAATTCAATATGTTCTTTGTACTCTTATTTATTTTCATAATGCTGTTGCAGACTCCAATAGAAATTTCTTGATGAGCGTCTTTTTGGAAAAGCAGTTTTATTTTACTGACATCATGGGATTCTTTTCATTGTTGTTTTTTAGTTTTTGTCAAACTCCTTTGTGAGATGAGTGTTCTTGACTTCTCACCTACTGGTCAGTAGGTGGCAGTATTGGTCAGGGATTCCTTTGAATGTACTACACTAGAAGTCTTAAAAATGAGCCTGACTTCATAGATAAGGATTCCTAGTGGCTGTAACTTGGCACCAAGCATCTGCAAATCAGTTATGTAAAGGCATTGTGGACTTATTGTGATTACTCAGTCTTTAAAAGTGCCAATCACAATGTTTGAGTTTCTGTCACATACGTGTGTGTGTGTGTGTGTGTGTGTGTGTGTGTGTGTGTGTGTGTGTGTATGTGTGTATATATATACACACACACATATATTTCTTGCTTGAACCCTAATCCATTGAATGAGGAAGAAGGGAAGAATTACTTACTGGATCCAGAATTACATTTTTGGTGCAGTTCCATTCAAGCAGAAGGATTCTGACTAAGGGCAGAGTGAAGAATCAGGAAAGTAAGAGTGATGTCTAAAATAAGATAGTTTTGACGACTTCTGTAATGACTTCTGTTTGAGTATGGATTAATAGACAAAATAAAAGACTTTATTCTACTGAGTTTACATTTTAGTGGAGGAAGACAAATAATTAAATGAAATAGTGAGTAATAAAATCAATACAATGGAGATGGAGAAGAGGTAAGCAGGATGCATAGGAAAAGGGAGGAGGGATAGGCACATTTCAGTGTTAACTGAGAGGTCTCACTGAATTGCTACTAAAGATTTGGAGGAAGTAAGGAAACTGCCATGGGGATATTTGTTTTTGTTTTTTTGTTTTGTTTTTGGGTCCGGTCGTGGGGCTTGAACTCTGGGCCTGGGCGCTGTCCCTCAGCTCTTCAGCTCAAGGCTAGCACTCTACCACTTGAGCCACAGTGCCACTTCCGGCTTTTTTTCTTTTTGCTTATGTGGTGCTGAGGAATCGAACCCAGGGCCTCATGTATGCAAAGCAAGCACTCTACCACTGAGCCACCTTCCCAGCCCCGCCATGGGGATATTTGGAAGAGGAATATTCTAAACAAAAACTTAGGATGAAAGTATGAAGTAGGAATGTGCCTCACTTTTCAGAAGTTGGCAAGAATGTGGTTGAAGTGGATGCAGGGTCAGAGAAAGCACTAGGTCCGAGAGAAATGTCAGAGTAAGGGCTGAGATCATAGGGACCTTGAATTAGATTGACAACAATTAATTCAAATCAGTACCATCATTAACAATTGTGATAACTGGGCATATAGGGAAGGTAGGGCCTAGCAGGTTTCTGGTATGAGACAAAGTATATTGTTTCTCAAGGATAACCCTAAGACTTCTGACTTCAGCAATTGGAGAAAGACTGGTTAACCAGGTCTTATGAAACAGGAAGGGATGTGGGAATTTTGTTGTGGGTATGTGAAATTTGACTTATTAGACACCCAGGTGGCAGTATAGTATATGAGTGATAGCAGAAGATTGGTTTATAGCAACAAAAAAAATCTCAGTTGTGGATTAAAAAGTCCTAGTTGTACTGATGATCCCAACCCATTCTCTGGAATTTTTAATGTAAGCCATGACCTTCCGTGAGATCAATAGATGGGTGTGAAACAGTGGAGAAAATCATCAAAGCCAGAAGGTGGTAGCTCATGTCTGTAAAAACATAGCTACTCAGGAGGCTGAGATCTGAGGCTCATCATTCAAGGCCATCCCAGGTGGCAAAGTCCAAAACCAGAAGTAGAGCTGTGGCTCAAAGTGGAAGAGTGTTAGCTCTGAGGAAAAATGCTCTGGGACAGTGCCTAGTCCCTGAGTTCAAGCCTTACAACTGACAAAAAAAAAAAAAAAGAGGGATCTGAGCTCAGGAACTGCCCAATGTTAGAATCTAAGTAAGGAACCAAACAACCAAAAAGATTAGAAAAACTGGAAAACAAAGAGACTATGACATGCCAGAAGCCAAGAAAAGAAATAGTAACAAAAATAATAAAAATATAAAAAGGATAGATAACACTTGCAGGTCCAATGAGGTCAAAGCTAGGTATTGATCTTTGGATTTATCTATGTAGAACTCATTGCTGAGCAGTTTAAGTACAACAAGGATGGTTTTAGTGAAGTTAAGAGAATGGGAGAATAAACGGAGTGTGGTGGTATATACCTGCAATCTCAGCATCTGGGAGATTGATGCAGGATGATCGTAAGCTGCAGGCCAGTCTTGAATCACATAGTGAAACCTTGATTTAAGTCCACAAGTAAACACATTGGGTAGTATGGTAGTGGTTCCAGATGAAGTATACTGAAGTATACTAACTAAAGTATACTAGACTCTATGGGGAGTTCAAATCATATACTTTTTAAGTATCTAGGTCAAAGCCCAACAAAATAAGCACCAGGAAATGGGTACTTGCAAGAGGGCAAGGGTAGGGTAGTGGGGTAGATGGATGAATGGGGGAGGAGGGAGAACACAGTCAATGTTCATTGTATATACCACCAAATTAAGAAAAGTAAGGGAAGAAGTGGGCTGATGGGGGGTAACAATGTGAACCTCCTCTGTCTAACTACTTAAGGATAGTAAATTTTGAAGGAAGAATGGGATGATTTGAACACTGGGCAGTTCTTAGTTGTTGATATGTAAGGAAGCCTATTAAATCAGATGCTAGCAGAAATCCTATGAGGTGTCCTTCTGGCTAAATGAATTGTTGGATGGAATGAAGACACTTAGTATTCTTAGAAGAGTTGTCATCGACATTGAAGCCAGAATGTCTGAGTTAGCTAATGTGACTGTGGGCATTCCTTTCTCCAAGTTAGGAATTGCTTAGATAACTTAATGATATGTGGTGTGTGTGTGTGTGTGTGCGCGCGTGTGTGTGCTGTGTGCGTGTGTGCGTGTGTGCGTGCGTGTGTGTGTGTGTGTGTGTGTGTGTGTGTGTGTGTGTGTGTGTGTTGGTCCTGGGGCTCAGACTCACACTGCTCTACCATTTGGGCTACAATTCTACTTATAACAGTTTTTGAATTGTTAATTAAAGAGTCTCATAGACTTTCTACCCACAGCACACAGCAAGATCTGTCTTCTGTTTTATATGGGGTGTCTAGTTCCAAGTCAGCACTACTGTACCTGGATATCTCTGACTTGCTCTTTAAGTTGGAGATTCTGGGGCATGAAACAAGGACAGACTTCCAAAGCATCTTTTGTCTTCAGGTGAACTGACCTTAAATGTTACAAGATAATTTGTTGAGTGGGCAGAGTTCTCTCCTTGTATTTCAGGTACTTTAAGCCAGGAGGCTCATGAAGAAAACAAATCTTTACCTAATTTTCTCTACTAGTCACTCCTGGGAGGAGTAGGAATGTCAGCTCTTCCCTTTGAGAGAGGTCATTGTTTGCCTTTTCTGGACCTGGCACCTTTTAAATCTCATCTATAATATTAAACAGCAGTCATGATTTTCCTTCTCCTATTTGCCTCCCAGCTTGGCATCTGGACTTCACATCAGTTTCTCTTTTTACTTCTGATTTAAAAGCCTTAGATCACATGACTTGCTTTTGAAAACCTTAGGAAACACAAGACCACCAGTCTCCATATGACCATTTTTCAGGTTGATTTTTTAAAAAGATTTTTGTGAGTTGTGTGTGTGTGTGCGTGTTTTTCGTTTTTCTTTCACATGTAGCTTGTTACACTACAAGATAAGCAGCCTGGCTCCAAGAAAAGACACATCTTTGGCCTTTGCACGCAAAGTAAAGACACACTGGCTTTGTCACAGCAAGCTTTCCTTCTTGAGGTTTTTAGGCTTGATTCTCAACAGAAGGAGCTCGGATCAGCTTCAGACAAAGGGCCTGGCTCTCCAGTGCCCTCACCTTTCTGTTTGATGTTCACCCCTTATTGTGTTTTCTGTAACCTTTGCCAAGTGACAGCTTTCAACTAATCTCTGCTTTAGGTCCCCTCCCCCACCCCCCAGTGAGGACCACAGGAAACATGGCATTTTCCTAGGGGAAGGTTCACAGAATCACCTAGCCCCAATTCTGAGTAAACCATCAGTTACAATTTTCTTTCTTTCACCCAACTGTACTTTTATTACAAATACAAAAAGCAAGCAAACAACAACAACAACAAACCCAGAATGATATAATCCATCACTTGTGCATGACAACGCAAAGTGCAGTGGAGGAAGCGTT